AATATACAAAGCAAGTGATGCACAGTGCAATTGCTCGCCGCCCGCCAACCGATGTCCAGCCAGTCCCCGAGCAGCGGCCCCCCCGGCCAGCTTTCCCCAGTTTATGTACTGAGCATGACGTCACATGGTATGGAATGTCCCTTTGGCCAGTTTGGCTGTGCCCCCTCCCAGCTTCTTGTGCACCTCCAGCCTTCTCAGTCGGTAGAGCATGGGAAGCTGAAAAGTCCTTGACTTAATATAAGCACTGCTTAGCAACAACTAAAACATCGGTGTGTGTTATCCATAATTCTCATCCTAAATCCAAAACACAGCACTGTACCAGCTACTAGGAAGGAAATTTACTCTATCCCAGCCGAAACCAGGACAACTGTATTACTGAAATAAGCTGTCACTGAAAAGTATTTATTGTGCCATTATATCAACATAATCTTAGCCTATACTCATTATAATAGCACCTTCCTGAAGAGGAAAAGAGGAGAAATACCAGAAAAATTTGTAACTATATCATTAAAGAATCTCACTCTTACATACTTCAGTTTACCTTCTTTTTTCTTTTTCTGTAGGTTGTGACCTCATCCCAGTCCAGTATCTCAGATGGGGTGATCCTGAACCAATTGCAGCAGTTGTTTTTGCATGTCTAGGTCTGCTGGCCACCTTGTTTGTTACAGCTATATTCATAATGTACCGTGATACTCCAGTGGTCAAATCATCCAGCCGAGAACTTTGCTACATCATTCTAGCCGGCATCTGCTTGGGTTACTTGTGCACTTTCTGTCTCATCGCAAAACCTCAACAGATTTACTGTTATCTTCAACGAATTGGCATTGGCCTCTCCCCAGCTATGAGTTATTCTGCTCTAGTAACTAAAACCAACCGCATTGCAAGAATCCTGGCTGGCAGCAAGAAGAAAATTTGTACAAAGAAACCTAGGTTCATGAGTGCCTGCGCCCAACTGGTTATTGCATTTATCTTGATATGTATACAATTAGGCATAATTGTTGCCCTCTTTATAATGGAACCACCAGATATAATGCACGATTACCCAAGCATCCGAGAGGTCTACCTGATTTGTAACACCACCAACTTGGGTGTTGTAACTCCCCTTGGATATAATGGATTATTAATTTTGAGTTGCACCTTTTATGCATTTAAGACAAGAAACGTCCCAGCTAATTTCAATGAAGCAAAGTATATTGCCTTTACAATGTATACCACCTGCATCATTTGGCTGGCTTTCGTGCCAATATATTTTGGAAGCAACTACAAGATAATCACCATGTGTTTCTCAGTGAGTCTGAGTGCCACGGTGGCCCTCGGCTGTATGTTTGTGCCCAAGGTCTATATCATCCTTGCTAAGCCTGAAAGGAACGTACGCAGCGCATTCACCACATCGACTGTGGTCCGCATGCACGTAGGAGATGGAAAGTCATCTTCAGCTGCAAGCCGCTCAAGCAGCCTGGTGAACCTGTGGAAAAGAAGGGGATCATCTGGTGAAACCCTTAGGTAAAGTTTGCTAATGTGGGAGTGTGGGGAAGCAATTATGATCTTCTGAGAGTTATTAATAGTGGAAGGACAAAGGGAAATATATTAATTCCCTTTGCCTCTGCACTGGGAGAGGAGTGAGTCCTCTCTCCCACATCTGTAACAGTTTCGGGTTTGATTTAGTCAAAAAGTTGTGCAAAAACAGGGGACAGAACAATGGGAAAACAATTACAAGGCTGGAAGTACTGGCTGTATCAACTGTACATTTAATGTAGGGAGGGAAACAAGATCTTAGGAGAAAAAAAACAACAGAACAAGAAACATAACTCATTGCCTTGTCCTGAATGCACCCATTTACAATCTCTTTCCCTTGAATGAATTGCATAGTGTCTGTATTTTGCCTCTAGTCACAGCAGTAAGACAACAGGGTTGCTGCTAGTGCTATATAATCAAGGTGGAGTAATAAATGCAAGTGGCATTGTGAGCAGCCACTCACAGACATCTGAGGATTTGTTTCATATGACTCTTCTGTTATACTTTTCTCTCCTATTTCCTTGATTTTCCTTTCTTGTATTATCTCTTCCTGCTTTCTTTCTTTTTTTCCTTACCTATCTTCTCTTCTTTACCTTTCTTGATACCTTTTTCTGTATTCATCCTCCTAACTCCATCAAATTCAGGTGCTCACAGGCCCCGCTCTTGCTACCCTTCCTGCCATTGAACAGGTACTCCCTTGAGAGATATCTCTTTGTTTCTGACCAAGGAATTATTTGAATTCAGTGATCACGAAGACAACTTGTATGTTCAGTGTATAAAAATTAAAGTAAGTGAACACTAAAGAGAAAGGAGAGCTCTGGAGTGAAAATACTGCAATAGACAGAGTGTGTAGAAGTGCACCCAGCCCAGTGGTTCATTTACATCTTGATCCCTTTCACTTTTGATATCGGTGCCGTGGGGATGATTTGGGTTATTTAATTGCTGGCATAAACAAAGAATTTCACCTATACAAAAGTGCAGAGAAACAGTTTTTCATTCCTCTGCTATATATGTCTAGCCTGGAAGTGACAAGTAGCTAGATTTTCCTCCTCACTAGAAACAAATGTGGATTTTAGGATTGATAATATGAATATTTCCAGACATGCCATTGTTCACAACTGGAGTTGGCATGGAACGAGGGCATGTACTTCCATTTTTGTGTGAACCACAATTTAGACTCAAGGGAGGATTTTATTAGTAATACCTGCAGGACAGATTATGCCAAAGTGATGATTTGTGTCTGTCAGATTATTACTGATGCTTCTCTTTCAGTGACACTGAATTGGTTCAGAAATGGCCAGTCTATTACAAGATATTTTATACCTACGATCTGTTAATGATGGTATCTTCCAGTTCATTTCCAGGTGCAGAGTAGGATGCTATTTTGAAATTATAAACCCTTTATCAGTTTAAGTGATGTTTATCTGAAATGTCATTTTCTACAACCTCTGTCTGTATGCCTGAGTGACCTGAGGTCTCCAGATTAGAAGCCCTACATCCACTTCTGGGCCAGCTAAAAGAGGCATTCTTCATAATATGTCCTCAATAGGAGGGCATTCTTCCTCTTTGAGATCATTATTATTTTCCCTCACTTTTGCTGCAAAGCTCATTTGCCATCTCACAACTTTTTTACTCAACAAGATTAAGTTATAGATGAAGGGAATATCTTGGGCTTGGGAAGGATTTGTCATCTGTTAAGGCCCAGTTTTGAAAGATATTGCTCCAAAATCTTTGTTTTGTTCTGAAAAGTAAGGAGTGTACCCTGCTATTGAATATCCTAAAAGACAAAGTGTATTTTCTTCTTTTTGAGGACTCTGTTTCCGTTTCTTTATATCCCTCAATGTGTAGATAACACCTGTGGTAGAGAGTTATTAGCAGAATGTAATAGTTCATCATTGACAATTACTTCTTTTTCAATAGCACTGTCTTGGAAATGCCTTCGATCCTGAAGAGCATTGAGAGTGCCCAATATGGGTGTGTAGGAATGAAAAAGGCAGCACAAAGCTGATATATTGACATATTTACCTAGATATAAAGAACTAGAGGTTTCATTTGAAATCTGGAGAAAAATTTTCATGTCATCAGCAGTGTTCATCAACACCTAAACCTGCAACAAAGACGACACTCCTAAATGCATGTGTCTGAATCCTCAGCTGGTTAAACTGTGATGGTGCCAGTGAGTTTAGCAGTGCTCAGTCAGCGTGTGCCTGAAGGGCCTGGGAATCCAAGAGCAAATTGATTCCATCGATCATGGGAAATTCTCTCTAATCAATGCCTATCTGGTTGCATGAAAGAAAACAAAACAGAGTCCTGAAATGTGCTGAGTAAATTTAAAATGCTGCTTAGGACTTCACCTATGTCTGATATCATCTCCAAGACCAGAAAACCACTTTCAGCTTCAATTCTGCTTACTATAGAGCATGAGCAAACAGAGTCTGACCATTTTGCTTAATATTCAAACATTTCTTTAAAAAAATCTTGTTGCACAAAGTAATATTTTTCAAGGTATTATGCAGTACAATGAGCAAAAGCTTGTTTGGATAGTTATTCAAGTAAACACTGAAGTACTCAGAATCAAAGGAAATATGCACTACAGCTACATGGCATTATTTAAATAGCTCAGAGGGGTTTCATTTAAAAAAGAGTGAGTCACTGTTGAATTTTAAAGAAACATGCTATTTAAGTCACCAGTGCATAGAGGGGCCCCTATCATTAGTATTTTGCTTCTTGACACTAATTTATAATACAGTGTAATTTTGCATCAAATCATTGTCAAACAGATAATGCCAATGCTCCATTCAGAGCTTTCATATAAGCTGCAAAATGACAGATAACAAGACTGCTTTTGCCTAAATAAAGCAACGCATCTGTTAGAGTCCTAAATTACTTTTTGCATGGGGTGTTCTTCAATTAAGAAAACTCAGGCAAGCTGTGGATATGTATTGGAATGAATCTTCACGTACTGAAATAATGTAGAAGGAGAGAGTAAAACTATTCATTACCTAGTGAAATGAAAACCATTTCATGTAGGCTGTTGTGATTCAGCAGTATTCACCAAAATATATTCTACCCTCATTTAAAAGTAGGCCTAACAAACCAGACATTATCAGAAGCAACTCCACAAAGAAGAATGCTGAACACTACATAGCTGGAGTCAAAGCCACACAACCTGTGTAGAGAGGCATCTGGACCTTCTGCTTCCCGTTATCTTACCAGCTAATTTCATAGGGACTAGGAAGGACATAAATAAATTGAGCAAATCTTACCTTAAGGTCTCAGGACCTATTATCACATATGCTACACAGCCCTTTTGCAAGAGTCCAAAATACAGGGCTAGTTTATCCTCTCCTCATTCTCAAATAACCCAGCATCCCAGGTAAGATAAGGACTGTATATTTCTGCTACAAGAGCTGCTACTGTGATATTTCTAGCCAGGACTGCACACCAAAAGGTGTCAGTAATGCTAACAGGGCTGTTATCTGACATGGAGCTTTCAGTCCTGTAAAGAAGACGGAGTACAGGAAAAACTGGGGAAGTTTTGTGGAAAGCTGAAGCTGGCCTGCATTCCTCACATGTATGCCCATTGAGAAAGATACTGATCATGAGTTTCTGCCACAGCACATTCTATTGGGGCACATTTCTTATAGTACAAATGCCAATTTTGTCTTCGTTTATATGCAGCTTGAACAATTTCTTTGACACATTTTGAATGATGATAAAAGAACACTACACTTCTCTTCCAAACTAATTTGTAAAAAATTTTTACTTACCAGACTTTGTCAGGGCACGGGTTATAGGTCCATACTCACAATTTTCACACCAAAGGGCTGATGTACTTTTGGTGATCTGATTGGTCATACGGTACACTAAGACTAACACTCCATCAGGTCCATTGCCTGGCAAAACAAGGGAAAACACAGCTTTACACTAAAAGACCTTTACAATTCTGGTTTTATTTAGCTGCAGAAAAAAAAAGACATTATTTGAAATCCTGAAGTTTTATAGAATGGACAAATAATTTATTGGTGACTTTTAGTTATTTAAATCAACTCTTGTGCGTATGTATTATAGAAGTGACCTGCACCATCCTTGAACTGTAGCAGTGACCAGCTTTTAGCCTTTGCTCATCTCAGTGTAAAAAATCCCAGTGGAAGCTGAAAAGTGAAAGTGCTGCACAAAACAGAACCAGATATTACTGTAGGGCAAAAGATGTGACTGAGAAATCATCATGTACCAAAAAAAAGTTAATTTCTACAGATGCTGTCTAAAAGGGGGCCATCGACTACAAATTGCACGAAAGTGCTTAGATGGCTTCATACTATGAGACAATGGCAAAAAAGTGAGGGGTAAGCTTCTTACATGACGTAATGTCATTAGAGCAGGCAACAATTTACATGAGGTGAAGGTTTGACTCAATGGGTATTCTTCTTATTTAAAAACACAAAATCTAACCATAGTGATACAACAAGATATTATTTGTTTGCTTAATAGCCTTGCTAGAAAAGAATTTTGATGCAGGAAAAAAATATTTGACTCTTCAGAGGAAGTCATTATCATTTTGACTTATTAGTCTGCATTTATTAATGAATCAGTTCCCAAACTGATCATTGGGTGCTATTTTAATCTAATATGCCACAAAAATTTAGATTAAGAGATTTCTAAATGGTTTGAGTCCTTCATTATTCCCTAAATGATTTAGTCTTGGTGTCTTTTTGAACAAGCTTGATACTGTGATTAATTAAACTTCAAATATTGTGGAAAGATTGAAGAATATTTTATGAAACTCAGTGAAAGGTATTAGATCTGAAAGATTTTGATAAATTGCTGCTAAAACATTCCATCTGTATAGGATCATAGAATAGTTTGGGTTGGAAGGGACCTTTAAAGGTCATCTAGTCCAACCCCCCCTGCCATGGGCATGGACACCTTCAACTAGATCAGGTTGCTCAGAGCCCCGTCCAAC